CCGTGTCGCAAACCTGTCTGTGCGTCCGGCTGATTAAAGGTGTCCGTCCTGGATTACTCCAGGTCCCGGTGGTGTGTGTAGTTTGTTCAAGCGGGTGTTTTGTCTTCCAGTTGTCAGTTTTGGTCGGGGGGGGAAACTGTCAGTAGTCTGTGTGTGGTTAATGGGTAGGGCGTGTCTGTGCCTATGAGGGGTAAGGCAGTTGTCGTGATGTTCTGTGAGTTTCAGCTAAATTGGCTCGGGGGTCACAGTTCCATTAGCCACATATGTACCAGGTCAATGCACACCGCTCTGGTCTCCCGTGGAGGTCGGCCGTCAGGGTCTCCATTGAGTATATGTCCTCCACCGCCGACACCCAATGCCCCAAGGTGGGCGCTCTTGGCTGTTTCCACATCCTCGGGATAAGGAAACAGGCATTGAAAGGGCGGCAGCTCCAGGGATTTTTTGTATGCTGTCAGTGGGCTTCGGGTGTGGTGCAAAAGCATCGTTAAGGGTGCCAGGGGGATATCGGTGCCTGTAATTTTGTTGACCTCTCCTCTAATTTGTTCCCAGAAAGGGGCAATTACCGGGCATGACCACCATATGTGGATATACGTGCCAGGTTGTGTGCCACATCGCCAGCACATGCCTGACGTGGTACCGTGCATGCGGTGCAGTGTGTCAGGCGTTCTATACCAGCACGTTAGCACTTTATAGTTTAATTCCTGATATTTTGAACTAATAGAGCATTTGTGCGTGAGGGTGTAAATCTTGTCCCATTCGTGTGCAGTGAGTGTCTCTCCCGCATCCCTCTCCCAGTGGTCCTTGAACCTAAGCTCCACGTCCCTGTTCGTCCGAGTCGTGAGTAGTGTGTACAGGGTTGAGATTCCCCTGGTGATGTGTGTGCGTTGCACACATAGGGTTTCAAAGTCAGTTAAGGGTCTGTGTAAGTGCCCCTTACCCGACCGGGCTGAGTAGTAAGATTTTATTTGGCGGTATCTAAACTGTTCAAGGAATGTAGGTGTTCTGTCGGGGCATAGTTCTCCGAGTGTTTTTAGGCCGTTGGAGCTGAGCCATTGGTGTATATATGACCAGTCCGTCGGTTGGAGTCCGGCTAGGTCACCGCGAGTTAGTGAATCTGCCAAGTCTGGGTTATGTGTGAGGGGGATCAGGGGACTGGGCGAAGTGGTGAGTTGTAGACGGTATCGGGTTGCCATCCAGACCCTTAGGGTGGCGTCTATTAAGGGATTTTTAGTTTGTAGGTCTGCGTGTGTAGCAGTGTGTAGCCATAATGTGGGGGGTATGTGCCCTCCCGACTGTTCCAATTCCAGTGTGACCCATGTGGGATGTTGTGCGTGCCAGTCTGTGAGCCTGTGTAAATGTGGGGCCGGTAGTATGTCTCAATTGAGGGCAGGCCGGCTCCCCCCAACGGTTTCGGCAGTTCCAATGTCGTTCTCTTGATGCACGTTGGGCGCGAATTCCAAACGAATCTGCGGATGGCGGTCATCAGGGAGCTAAAGAACGCTCTGGGGACCGCGATCGGCACCGTCTGGAATAAATAGAGCAGTCTTGGTAGAAGGTTCATTTTGACTGCGTTAATGCGTCCGAACCAAGATATATATTGAGGGGCCCATTTTCTCATGTCTGCCTGGATCGTTTGTAGCAGCGGGTGGTAGTTTTGGTAGTACAGTTGGGTCATGTCTTTTGGTAGCCATATACCCAGGTATTTCAATTTAGTGGGACACCATTTGAAGCGGAATTGGGTGTATAGCGTCGATGAGGAGTCCTGAGGGCCAGGTAGGTGAAGGGCTTTTGACTTATCTGTGTTGAGCTTAAGGTTAGATATCAAGCCAAACCTTCGGAATGCGGCCAGAAGATTAGGAAGTGATATCCGCGGAAGGGTGAGAAAAAACAACATGTCATCCGCGTATGCAGCAACCCGATATTCTCGCCGGCCGACGGTGAATCCCGTGATATCCCCGTCTCGTCGGACTGCCCCCAGGAAGGGTTCCAGGGAGAGGGCAAACAGGAGGGGGGACAGCGGGCAGCCCTGGCGGGTTCCATTTCGAATGGTAAAGGGGGCGGACAGAGCACCATTCACTCGAATCCGAGCCGTCGGGCTCGTGTACAGGGAAAGGACCCATGATCGCATGCGTGGGCCGAATCCCATGTGTGTGAGTGTTTCCTCCAAGTACACCCAGTCCACCCGGTCGAATGCCTTCTCGGCATCTGTCGAGAGGAGGAGTAGCTCCCGCTGTTGCGACCTTGCTACTTGCAGAATGTTTAGGGCTTTGATGGTGTTATCCCTTCCCTCCCTCTCTGGGATGAACCCAACCTGGTCCGAGTGCACTAGGTGTGGTAGGTGCTTCGCAATTCGCAGGGCTAGTGTCTTGGCGAACAGTTTGAGGTCTGCATTGAGCAGGGATATGGGGCGGTAGCTAGCGCAATTCGCTGGGTCCTTACCTTCCTTGGGTATTACTGTGACTATGGCCGCTAGTGTGTCGGTGGGAAACCGTTCCCCATCTTGAAGTGAGCCAAGACCTCGTAGGAGGTTCGGCAATAATATATCGCGGAATGTACGCAAGTATGCCAGTGGGGGGCCGTCTGGGCCAGGAGCCCTGTGGGATTTGGAGATTTTTAATGCTGCGGCTAACTCTTCTATCGTGAGGGGTCGTTCTAGTTCCTCCATCATTTCAGGGGTTAATTGTCTTTCTACATTTTGGTCTAAGTACTCCGCTATTTGGCCACGGCGTTGGGCATGTGCGGCGACCGTCGTGGGTTGGGGGATATTATATAAGTCGGTGTAGTAGTCCACAAAAGCACGTTGGATTCCGTCGGGTAGACTTGTTACAGTCTTGTCTCTTGTGTTAATTTTGTGTATGTGGTTCGCCCTTCGCTTGTCTTGAAGCTGGCGGGCTAAAAGCCTACCGCTCTTGTTGGAGTACTCGAAGAAGTGCCAAGCCGACTTTCTAAGGGTGCGCAAGAGACCCTTGGCTAGTATGTCCCGTCTCTGCCTCCTAAGCTCCGTCAGTCGGTGGTACTCGTCCTCCCCCTGATTTTGTTTGTGTGCGTGCTCTAGTGTGGTGATTTGTACGTTTAGGGTGGACAATTGTTGTGTGCGCTCTTTTGTGCGCTGTGAGCATATTTTGATATAGTGGCCCCTAATGACACATTTATGTGCCTCCCAGATAGTTAGGGGGGGGTATCTGGCGTGTTATTAGTATCAAAGTATTGTGTCAGTGTTTGCCTGGCTTGTTCCTTGTCCACTAGGTCGAGCAGTAAGTTTTCGTTCAACTTCCATTGCCGTTCTGCGGGTTTATGTAGGGGGGATTGGATTTGTACTGTAATGGGAGCGTGGTCAGAGTCTGCGATATGCCCTATGCTAGCTCGTTGGAGTAATGTTAGGGCCTCTTGTGCCATTAGGATGTAGTCGATTCGGTTGTAGCGCTGATGTACAGCCGAATAGAAGGTGTAGTCTCTGCCCTCGGGGTTAGCCACTCTCCAGCAGTCAGCCAAGCCACACCGGGCTAAAGCCCTCCCTGTTGAGCGTATGCAGTGACCTGGTATCGAAGTTTCTCCCCTAGATGTATCCAGTCTAGACTCAAGGGGAATGTTGAGGTCTCCTGCCACTATCAGAAGGCCTTCTCTGAATTTGTTTAGTAAGGCTAGCGTTTTAGTTAGGAAGACGTGTTGGCGTCGATTAGGGGAGTACAGGCAGGCAAATGTGTAAGTGGACTGTGCCATTGTTCCTTTGATAAATACGTATCTACCCCCGGGGTCTGACTTCTGCTCCGTGCAGACGAATGGGACTGTACTGGAGAGTAGGATTGCTACCCCGGCCTTCTTCCCGTCTGGGTGATTGGCATAAAATCCTGTGGGGTAACTCCCATTTCTCACGGTCGGCGCCTCTGCACCCTGAAAATGTGTTTCCTGTAAAAACGCCACTGAGGCGCGCTCTGCCCACATTGTGCGAAGTAGTTGGGACCTTTTTTCGGGAATGTTTAGGCCTCTCACATTGTTAGACCATAGGGTCAGCGGTGTCGGCTTGTAGTTAGAGCCCATCTCTATCAGCGTTATTTGTGAGGCGTCTGTGGGAATGTGTGCGTCAGTGGTTGGTGGGTGTAGGGGTAAGGTCTGTCCGGTGTCTGGGGAGGAGGTAAGTCTGTCCAAGAGTAAGGCAACTGTGACTCACCTCGGTTTTTGTCGCCCTCTGGTGTCTGTTGCCCTAGGGGTGAGTCACCTTGGTGGCCTCCGAGTGTATATACAACGTGAGTCCGTTACTTGGGGTATGCGGTCCCTCTGGTCTGGGTCGTTCGATAGTGTCGTGTTGAGCCCTTCCCTTGGCTCCCAGCTCACCTATCGTGTTGGATTGTAGATCTCTCCAAGCATGTTTCCGTCCCGGAAACCCCATCCGCCTTCGTCGTCCCTCCCTGTCACGGCCTATGTATGGGCTATCTGACTCGGGCCCCAAGTTTCACGTCATTCTGTTACTGTCACTACACATATTGTACAGCGTCTGCGCAATTGTTTACAAACAATAGAAACCATATACCAATATAACAATCATAATAAACAGTTGTGGAGCAAGGCCCCCCATTCTCCCCCCCCAAGGGAGCCCCCCGCACCCCTTCCTTGGTGGCCCCACTGCGTGCCTGAAAGGCCCTCGGCTGTCCAGAAGGTGCTGGAGTCCATGCTATCGGTCGGACCCATCAGGCTAGAGCTTGGGGAGATCACCCTTACAGCGGTGGGTACAACCCCGGTATGGTGGCAGCCTCCCGGCCTCCACCCCCACACCCCACACACCCAAAGGTAGCTGGTGTTCCCGGACCGTGGCAACTAGGAGAGTCCCAGCATGGCATGTCCATGCAAAGTCTATCTCCTGAGGGTCCCCACCCCTGGTTGTGAGGCTCAGGTTAGGCCACCCCCTGCTAGTGTGGATCTGGACCCCGTGTTGCGGGCTTAGGTCAGGGAATCAAGTACATACCAAGTTGTGCTGTGGTTCGACCAGGTGCATGGGGGGCCATGTCATCTCGTGGTGCCTGACACCCACAGGAGCTTCCGATGGTCAGTGTCTAGGCCTTCAGAGTCGTCTTGTGGCTTCCTCTCGTAGTGGCTGGGGGGCCGTTGGTGGGGTGGCAGGTTGGCGGTCGGGGTAGCCGAATGGGAGGTAGGGGGCCTGGTTCATAGGAGACCGTTATTCTTCATGGCTGTCCGGGCCACCCCGCCGGAACCCGCTGCCTGTAAGGCCCGTGCCCGGCCTGTCGCTGACTGCCCGTGGATGCTGTGGTTGTCGCTTCAGGACCCAGTTGGATACCGTCACCGCGGGTAGACTCATGGCTCGTATGAAGTGTGGAACATCCGCTGGCCAGCGGATGATATGCCAGGATTGGCCCACCTTCGCCTGCAGGCTGAAGGGGAAGCCCCATTTGTATGGGATCCTCCGCTCCCGGAGAATGGCGGTTACTGGACGCAGCGCCCTCCTGGCCTCTAGCGTGAGCGCGGAAAGATCCTGGTAAAGCGAGACCTGTCCGTCTCTAAAGGCGATGTTCTGCTGATTGCGCGCCGCTCTCATGATGCCATCTTTTAAGGCGTAAGAGAGCAAGCAGCAGATTACGTCTCTCGGTGGTCCCTCAGGGGACAAGGGTCGCAGCGCTCTATGGGCTCTTTCGATACCGTAGTCTTCTGGGGCTCTGTCTCCCAGAATATGGGTAAACAGGTCTGTCAGGAGTTCTGGCAGCGTTTCGTCCGCGTTTTCGGGTAGGCCCCTTATGTGGATATTGTTCCTCCTTCCGCGGTTGTCCAGGTCTTCTAGTTGTCTCCTGAGATCTAGTAGGACATTGCCCTGTCTGGTGGTGGCAGTGTCAGTGTCATGTTGGTGCTGCACAGTCTGGGCTCTGTCTGCTTTTAGGGCCTCTACCCTGTGTTCAAGGGCTGTCAGATCTTTCCTCACCTCCATGACCTCCTCCCTGATTGCAGTCCTGATTTCTGCCAGCATCTCAGCTTTGTCAGCCCTGGACAGCATATTGGCAGTGATCTTGGCCAGCTCGGATGAAATATGTGCAAGAGTGTCTCCCCTGGGTGAGCCCTGCATCTGGCTGTCACTGCTGCTATCCCCTGGGGAGGCCGGCGCCATTTTGGCTGCTGCCGGCGCGGACCGCATGTCTCGCGGCGTGCATACATAGCCGTCCATGGGGTCCGAGGTGCGACCCGGCGAGCCAGCTTGTGAGGGTCCCGGCGTGTGGGGTCTCCTGGATTTACCCATCCCGGGTTGAATAGCGCTCGTTGATGGGTGCTAGTGTGAGCTGGGGCCGCGGAGCAGGCTCGGGATGCATCCTAATCCATACCCGGTCAGGAGAACTGAACTTTTAATCCACACAACCTTCTTTTAAAGCTTTCTCCCATGCAAGGGAGGGATTCACATTAATGAGTACACTATCCAATAGTATGCCTGTTACCTCCCACACATCTCCTCCCTTCAGTGTGACACAGAATCCACTTATCCATATTGTAGTTTTACCCGATTTCTGGATGTACCCCTAAACAGTCAGCTAGAATTATATACTGATCTAGTTAACTAACATATTCAAAATTCACCCAGATCGGACCCGGAGTTCGGGAGTTAGATGGAAGGTGAAATTTGACCAACCGCACACAAGGTGGTATCCGAAAAAGGCTCCATGTGTTTTGGCCTTGCGTCGGTCTCCGTTCGGGAGTTAAAATACATACAAATACTTTCCATCCATGGTTAATCTTATGTTCGTATTAATTCCCTTTTTAATTAATTAAGGACATTTGTTTCACCGAATGAGGGGCTGGTTGGCCCCTCCGCTTGGGAGTTACGGAGCTCTGGAGGTCTCATCGGTGTTCGGTTGTTTGAGTGTCCGATTTGAGTTCCAGACACTCGACAACCAAACACCGCTGAGATTTTCTTGTGTAAGATGGCCGCCACCACATGGTTCGTATACCGAACGGCAACCACACAGATACATACAAAGTAGCAATTTCACGGTCAATTAGGTTGCAGTTACAGAGTGTGAAAGCTTAATGAGGTGCACACTTCTTACTGGGGTGGTCTGATGGTTCGGTAGTTTCATTCGTATGAAAAACGGAATGAAAACTACCGAACAATCAGACGAAAACTATACACAATACTTCTACACATAGCAATAATTACACAAAATACATTTGTAACACGAATCCTTGAGGACAGCCCATTGCCATCTGCTACAGTCCCTCTTACATGTCTTGAACAGCTCTGAAGCAGAAACTGCAGATTCCAAGTAGCTACCGAACATAGGCCTCAATTTAATATTCTGGGTAAGCTTTCCAAAATATCACAATCTGATAGAAAAACTTTGTAAATGATTTATCTACCAAAGTCACCACTACGTCTATGTGGAACTATAGTAGATTTATCATTTGAAAAGAATTCCTAATAGAGTGTGATAATCCAAAAATATTTGGCTCACTGACTGAATTTAATATAAAAGCAATGAGAATATAGAAAAGTATTATCTATCTTCCATAAATCTATCATTGCAATCTGTGATTCAAATCTTTAATCCTAAACTTAATTGAAAACCTTAGTCCTAACCATCACCCGAGTTAACAAACTCTAGCCTTTGTCCTAACCTAACATCTAATCCTAATGTATGACACTAACTTTGAAAACTCATCACTTAGCTCTAACTCTAACCTCAATGTCTTATTGTAAAATCTAGAGCTGGCCTATATTTTGGATCTGTTCTAGCCTTTCGGGTTGAATCAGTCTGAGATGCATGGTCTGGTTTTCTCTGTAATGGCACAAGATGAGCAAAAAAACAGCTTGACAACGGAGCAGGGACCCACCGAAGGGCAGGCTAATTGAGCTATTGTCCGTTCTTAGCACTCTCTTGCGACTTGTGTTTTGCTTTCCTTAAGTTTAAAGTATAATCCAGGGCTCACGGTGCCTAGAGGGATATTGGCTATACCTCACTGGTGATGCCTAACAAAGTTGGAACGATCATCTGGGGTTGCTGTATCTCTCGTGCAGAGAGAGCTGACCTGTAATTTGGATCTGTTGAGCTGTTGTCCGTTCTCAGCACTCTCTTGCGACTTGTTTCTTGTTCTCCTGAAATATAAAGCTAGTTGCATCAACACGAATATATGTGATCAGTACTTCATACCTCCCAACACAAGAAGGTATGCAATCAGGGTGGCACTTTACTGATAGGGCCATGCAGAGAGCAAAGTTGAAGCGTTCTCTACATAGTACTAGTGTCTGCTGCACATAGTGTCTTATGATGTGCTAGCAATGTACTGCCTTGGGACAGTTCCCTGGTGTAAGCAGATGCGGGACACTAGGGAACTAAAGCAGGACCGTCCCGCCAAACATGGGAGTGTGGGAAGGTATGATTGTTTGAAAATACTGCTATGCACCAAATATATGCCAGCAGTCTAAAAATTGGATTCTATCTACTGATCCCCATAGCAGCTAGACTCATGCACAATCCATCAAAAAGAAAAATGATCAAAACAAAGATGGATAATCATTTTAATTCCCGTGCAAAATTTAAATAATGTGTCTCCCTCATTAAGGAGACAGTCAACTTCCTTTTTAGCATTTGTTTTCTCTTATGGAAGTAAAAGTGGAGAAATATGAGATAATAAGAATGCGTATAAAGCAACATTCACTTGCTAACCTTCAAGCTACTTTGTACTGTTCAGTTGAGCTTCTAGACTTTATTATAAAGCTTGTACACTACCATGGTGGACAACTGTCACTATGCAAAGTGCAGGTAACTATCTAAATTACAATCACCATATCCCTTAACTGGAAAAATGTGATTGGCAGCTGCTGACAAAAAATAGTTAAGTGTTAGCAGTATTTTTAAATAAAGGTACAAAAAGAAGTGACTCAAGTAGGGCACTTGGCAAACTAAAATCTTACTTCTCTGATGAATCATTGGTTCTGGCTGTTGATCAGGATATATAACGGGTAAAAAATTAACTAAAAAAGTAGCAAATTAATTTACTGTAAATGGTAGCAAAAACATACATAGCAAAATGTAGCTAATGGGAAACAAAAATCCATAATGTAGACAACAATAGCTACGGTGAAAAAAAATCTCTATCTCTGGTACATTGAAATCTTAATTTGACTTTTAGTTTACAGTTCAATTTACAATCTTCCATAATTCACAGTTTAGTTAATAAATCTCTTAAGTGTATCTTCCCACCATATTAAGCTCTTACTGGCATTGCTTGGACAACTGAGAAACTGTAATTTGTTTTGTCTGCTGAATAATTGCCCATACCACTGCGGTACTCTGTACTGTCATATTCCACCGCATCCTCTGTGAGGGATGTAGTAGTAACCAGATGATTTACTGATGAGTATCATGCAACCATTCTACTTGGAATCTTCTAACAAGTAAAAGCCAGACAAGAATGTTATTTTCTTCCAATGTAAGACATGTCTCTTTCCAGACTGAGAACTTTTTTCAACAAGCCTTGATAAACAGTTACAAATTGCTTTTTTTCCGTGCAGTTGAATAAAATTGCTTCTCTACTTGAAACCTGTAGACACTTGTGACTCAGCCAATCTCTTGTCTGCCAGCTTTAATTTTACCTAGCAGGCATTTTAGGTCATCGGTTTCCTATGGAAGAAGGAAAGTTAGTATCTATTTTCCATTTTATAAGCTTAAAATGTGACACTGAACACATTTTATGTTATGTTTAATATTTTATATTCATCACACACAATTTTTAAGAGGAAACAATCGATGATTGAGTTTTCACACTTTTTACATTTTTGCCCCTAATGTTAATTTGTGCTGGGCTTTGAAAGTAAGGGTCATTTTATCTGAATGTATTCTTGATAGAACGGGGGACACGGTGGAGGGATTTGCAAAGAAAAATAGCAGAAGAGAAAAGATGTTCAAGGAATTGAAATCCGTCAACATAATCTTTTATAGAATGGACCGGCGTCAAATGTTTTTCAGTAAAAGCAGAAAAAGAGAAGGTTGCAGTATCCAAGACAATACAAAATGTGGTAAAAGGTAGAGTTTTTCTGATATCTTAAAGGAACACTATAGGGTCAGAAACAAAAACATATTCCTGACCCTATAGTGTTAAAACCACCATCTAGCACCCCCTGTTTTCTTCTTGCCTCCCTAAATATAGTAAAATATTACTTGTATTCAAGTCTGCAGCTGCTGCCTCTGCTCCTGTCTGCCTCCGACCTCCATGCTGACATCATCAGAAGCGGTGATCTGATCCAATCACAATACTTCCCCGCAGGGCCGTCTTTAATGTTCGTAGACTTAGTCACACTTATTTTTTAACTAGTGAAAATACACACACAAACACACATACAGATGCAAACACTGACACAAATGCAGACTCACACATACACAGGTACATACATCTAAATACACAGATATACAAAGACAGATACACAGAAACACAGGTGCATACACAGATACACACTGGCACACATACAGATATACAGATACTCACTGAGAAACATGCAGATACACACTAAAACACAGATAAACAGACAAACACACTCTGACATATATGCAGATACACACAATAACACATATGCAGATACATACATGGACACACATGCAGTTACACAAACACACACTAGCACATACAGGCACACATACTGACACATATTCAGATACACAGACACAGACAGATATACAGGGGCACACACTGACAAACATGCAGATACACAGACACTCATACAGACACACAGATACACATATAGACCGATACACACAGATACACAGACACATGCATATACACATAAAGACAGCTATACACACAGAAACACACATACAGATACACAGATATACATACAGACAGATATACACACAGACACACAGACCCACATGCATATACACATACAGACAGATACACACACAAACAGACACATGCACAGACAGATGTACACACATAAACACACAGGTACACATACAGTCAGATACACACACAGACTGATAAACATGCAGACAGATATACACACAGACACACATGCATATACACATACAGACAGATACACACAAACAGACACATGCACAAACAGACAGATATACACACAGAAACACACAGATACACATATAGTCAGATACACACACAGACTGATAAACATGCAGACAGATATACACACAGACCCACATGCATATACACATACAGACAGATACACACACAAACAGACACATGCACATACAGACAGATATACACACACAGACTGATACACATGCAGACAGATATACACACACAAACAGACATACATGGAAAATATACAATTTCAGTCACCCTCCTGTTTCCTACCTTTTGGGTGCAGGAGAGTGACTTACCTGCGGTCCAGTGGCTGTCTGAAGCTGTTGGGAGTTGGGCTATCTCCCAGTCCACGCTCCTCCTCTCTTCCTCCCTCCCGCGCGACATTCTCTGTGCTAACTAGGAGGAAGTGACTGCACTTCCTCCTAGCGCTGACCTCATCACTGGGGGTGCGGGCGCGCTGACCGGACCCCTGCAGACTCATTGCCGTTGGGTGGCCCTAAGAGCATGGGCCACCCGATGGGGCCCCTCATCGTGCGGCCCGCAGTGGTCTGCCCGCACGCACCACAGCGGCCAGCGGGCTCAAGGGGCAGCTGCTTTGCGCCCCCTAGGAATGACAGGGGCAGAGCAAGCACAATTCAAGCACAACTCTGGTCAATCAGAATCTACTCATAGATATTAATTTAATCAATGCATCGCTATGAGAAAAGTTCAGTGTCTGAATGCAGAGGGTGGAGACATTGAATGGCAGTACTGCCCCAGGAGGCACCTCTAGTAGCCATTTGAGGATTGGCCAGTGGAGTTATTACTAGGCTGTAATGTAAACACTGCATTTTCTCTGAAAAGACAGTGTTTACTGCAAAAAGCCTGAAGGTAATGATTCTACTCACCAAAACATATACAATAATCTGTAGTTGTTCTGGTGACTTTAGTGTCCCTTTAACTAAGAAAGGGATGAATCGTGCAATACGTGCGATTTGGAGGCAGCAGGACTGAGTAGGAGTTTTAAAATAAGGAATAAAAGAGGCAATCAATACAAATAACAGATCAGTGCTTTGCCATTCCGAGTTCCGCTTCAATATCCTTTTTTGTCAGTTTGACAATTTAGTCAAATGTGAGAATGCAGGTCTGATACCCTGGCAACATAACCACTTCAATTGGCTGAAGTGGTTATGGTACCAAGATTGTTCTTTTTATCAAAGTACATGCACAAATAGTTCCAGAAAAGAACCACACTTTGCAATTGGTAAGCTCCACAAGGCGGATGCGTAAAAGTACTTAGTGTATTGAGAAATATGCAATATTAAGGATCTGCCTTGAGTAGATGATTTAGAGCTTACTGATTACAAAGTGCGGTTCTTTCCTGGAATTGTAGTGAAGACGGAATTGGGAACTAAGGAACCAGCACCAGAAGCCCAACAGTGACTATCAGCTAAGGTAAGTAACCAATGTGTACTTAATTATTTTTTAATTTTTTAATCGAAGTTGAAGCAAAAAGACTATGCTTGAAAAAGCCCGGTATAGCGGGTGAAACACGTTGATCGGCACTCAGGATACAGAGGTCTGACGATGACAGCCTGATCTACCTGGACCACACACCAAGGTCTCCAGCTTACACGCTTTACTCCACCTTATCAGCACTGAGATTGGGCCGGAGTTTTGTACGATAAAGTGGACGATAAACGGCTGTTAAAACCTCTGACTTTGCTAAATGTGTTTGTGGTATCTTGGAGACGAGTACCACTACTTGCTAATGTAAGAGTTTCTATTTGGGGGGGCAAGGATATCTTTTTATATGAATAAAGCAGTTTTACACTATGGAAAGCTTTTTTGTATCCTTTTAAGGTACAAGTTACTTTGAGCTACAGTGTATCCATGGATGCTACAATTCTGCTGCAACACAAGATTAACCCGCTAAAGACTTTTACTCAGAACTTTTGGACTTTTAAAGCACGTTTTTAACATTTTATGTGAAGGAACTAACTTATTGTGATATATAGAAGTTAACATACTACTATTAATCCACGTTGCTGATTTTGCATATTCATTTGATTGCCTACTATCAGGCTATCATATATAGCGCTGACACTTATTTTCATGAACTCATTTATTTTGCCTTTCAGCTGTACCCGCTCAGATCTCAAGTTGGTTCTAACTCATCTTGTGACATTACAGAAAGAAAATATTCCATTTGCATATTAGACCAATCCCACCAAAAGGGTGGTCCAGTTCCAAAATGCAAGACAGCACTTGCAAAATACAGTAACCCCATTTTTTTTGCCCTTGGTGGGACTCATCAGTGAGGTGTGGCTCATGCTCCTCTAGGCATAGTGACTAAGAGGTCCACGTCTGCATTACCCTTTAACCTTAGGGAGACCCTAGGCAATTAGCAAACAAACCAAAACAGAGTGCATGCGAATCCAATAACTTGTTATTCGGTGGTTCCCCGCTCCCCACCCTAAAATTTTAATGTTTAATAAAGAAATTACTAAAGTTTCTTTTTACTGCAATTAGGAAAACCAAAAATAACAAAGGCACTTGACCATTAAAGTGTAACTGCCACTGTCCATATATTTGCACGACCAAGGCATGCCACATAAATGTATTAACCCTATCAGTGTTGTACACAAGGGTAAATGTGTGTGTGTATGGCGCTATTGAAGGAGTTTTCTGTAGAGATGCCCAAGCGCGCATGAGCACAACTGGGGCATCACATTGCTCTATAAGTGTGTTACTTACTAACTTACTGTAAGCACCTCAACAGCACTTACTGTAAACACTAACATATAATTTACTGTCATGAGGGAAAACTGAGATGGGCAATTGTTGCCTGTAGAAGGGAACACAATGGCAGAGGTTTTAATAAACAAACAGCGCATTCTTGTATAAAAATCTAAAGAGTGCCCATTGAAAGATTCCAGAGGAATGTTTTAAGTGGAATTGGGAACTTTTGATTACATTTATAAAATGATGTTTCTTGATTTATGTCTTGTTTATATGCATAATGGTAAGTATCACCTGGGGGCAAACCAGAGAAGCCAGAACCTGGCCAACTATAACTGCAATAAGTGAACCTCACACAGACATTTTATTTATTTTTTCTTCATTTGTTTATAGATGTACAGAGAGGTACTACTGCATATCAATGCGAATAAAAACAAATATGTGTATTAAACACAATATATGCAGACACTTTCTGTACCAAGGCCATTACAGGAGCCATGATTGTGGAGCCCCAGTATGCACCTGTAAGGCTGGTGCTTTGCATGAAACGAGTGCGTGCCTCTCAGCGGCTGCGGAAGGGGCGACACTTCTCAGAATGTGCTTACGTCCGTGCGTTTAGAACTCTGCATCGCGCAGCCCGCGTTCTATCAATTAGAACGCAGATCCTCCGCCCAGGCTGCTGGCTGACCAGCAGTACTCACTGCGCATGCGCGTGTCACCCAGCGGTTTTGGCGCCCTGTTTTGCTGCCAGTCGCTGGGGGAACGCGCGGGATTTCAAACTCTCAGTGTCTGAGTGGCGAAGCGGCAACATGAGTCTGTGGGTTGATAAATACCGGCCGACCTCCATCTCCAAGCTGGACTACCATAAAGAGCAGGCGGCAGAACTCCGTAACCTGGTGAGGGACAGACAGACAACCTGTATATATAATATATTATCATAGGGAGGGAGGGAGGGACAGACACAGACACACACAGACACACACAGACACACACAGACACACACAGACACACACAGACACACACAGACACAGACAGACACAGACAGACACAGACAGACAGACACAAACAGACCAACCACCTGTATATATAATATATTATCATAGGGAGGGAGGGACAGACAGACAGAAACAGACAGACAGACAGACAGAAACAGACAGACAGACAGAAACAGACAGACAGACAGAAACAGACAGACAGACAGAAACAGACAGACAGACAGAAACAGACACAGACACACAGACAGACAGACACAGACAGAAACAGACACAGACAGAAACAGACACAGACAGAAACAGACACAGACAGAAACAGACACAGACAGAAACAGACACAGACAGAAACAGACACAGACAGAAACAGACACAGACAGAAACAGACACAGACACACAGACAGAAACAGACACAGACAGAAACAGACACAGACAGAAACAGACACAGACAGAAACAGACACAGACAGAAACAGAAACAGACACAGACAGACAGACACAGACAGACAGACCAACCACCTGTATATATAATATATTATTATCATAGGGAGGGAGGGACAGACAGACCACCTGTATATATTATTATTGCCATTTATAGCGCCAACAGATTCTGTAGCGCGTTACAATATTATGAGAGGGGGGATGTAACAATAAATAGGACAATTAGAAGAAAACTTAGAGGAACGATAGGTTGAAGAGGACCCTGCTCAAACGAGCTTACAGTCTATAGGAGGTGGGGTATTAGAAACATTAGGAAAGGAAATATCAAGTAGGAGTGAAGCAGAGCTGGAGGAGAGAGCAAAGCACTGTCCCATAGGAGAGAGCAGGAGACAGGTATGTAAGGTAGAGATTACTCTGGGAGGCCATAAGCTTTCCTGAAGAGATGGGTTTTAAGGCCCTTCTTAAATGATTGAAGACTAGGGGAGAGTCTGATGGCGGTAGGCAGGCTATTCCATGGAAAAGGAGCCGCCCGCGAGAGGTCCTGCAAGCGCGAGTTGGCCGTACGGGTGCGAGCAGCGGTCAGGAGGTGGTCACGGGCAGAGCGGAGGGTATGAGGAGGGGCATATCTATGGATTAGTGAAGAGATATAAGAGAGGCTAGAATTGTTCAGTGCTTTAAATGTATGGGTTAGCACTTTAAATTGACTCCTATAGCATACAGGGAGCCAATGTAAGGACTGGCAGAGGGGTGAGGTGTGAGAGGACCGACTAGAGAGTAAAATCAGTCTAGCTGCAGCATTCATTACAGACTGTAGCGGGGCAATACGGCTTTTGGGGAGACCAATCAGGAGAGGGTTACAGTAATCCATGCGCGAAATTACTAGAGCATGGACAAGCTCCTTGGTAGCATCTTTTGAAAGAAATGGGCGGATGCGGCTATGTTTTTGAGTTGGAACCTACAGGACTTGGCAACAAACTGGATGTGAGACTCAAAGGTGAGACCAGAGTCAAGTATGACCCCAAGACAGCGTGCTTGCAGGGATGGACTTATGTGGATATCACTGAATTGAAGGGAGAGCGAGAGAGGAGGATCAGTATTAGGAGGAGGAAAGACAAGGAGTTCAGTTTTAGAGAGGTTAAGTTTCAGAAAGTGTGAGGACATCCAGTCGGAGATGGAAGAAAGGCAAGCAGTGACACGTTGCAGGACGGCAGGGAGAGGTCCGGGGAGGAGAGGTATATCTGAGTGTCATCAGCGTACAGGTGGTAGTGGAATCCAAAAGAGGCAATAAGTTTACCAAGAGAAGCAGAATAAAAAGAAAATAGAAGGGGACCAAGGACAGACCCTTGGAGAACTTCAACCGAGACGAGGGGAGGAGGTATCCTTGGAAAAGGAGACACTGAATGAGCGTTGGGAGAGATAGGAGGAAAACCAAGAGAGGACAGTCACAGAGACCGAGCGATTGAAGAGTTTGAAGGAGGAGAGCATGATCAACAGTGTCAAAGGCAGCAGAGAGGTCAAGGAGAATTAATATGGAGTAGTGACCTTTGGATTTAGCGGAGATTAGGTCATTAGTCACTTTGATAAGAGCAGTCTCAGTAGAGTGGAGAGGGCGGAAGCCAGACTGAAGAGGGTCAAGGAGAGAGTTGGAATTAAGGAAGCGAGACACACGGGTAAAGACAAGTCTTTCCAAAAGCTTTGATGAGAAAGGGAGCAGGTATATGGGACGATAGTTAGAAGGGGAGGATGGGTCAAGAGATGTTTTTTTTTCAGGATAGGTATTACAGTGGCATGTTTAAGGTCAGCAGGAACAGTGCCAGAAGAGAGAGAGCAGTTCAAGATGTGTGTTAGGGTAGGCAGCAGACAAGGGGAGAGAGATCTGATGAGGTGAGATGGGACAGGATCGAGCGGGCAAGTGGTGGGGCGAGAGGAATGGAGAAGCGCAGTCACCTCTTGTTCAGTAGCCGGATAGAAAGTCTGGAGGGTAGGGAAAACAGACAACCTGTGTATATATAATATATTATCATGGTGAGGGAGGGACAGACAGACAACCTGTATATATATTATTATCATGGTGAGGGAGGGACAGACAGACAACTTGTGTATATAATATATTATCATGGTGAGGGAGGGACAGACAGACAACTTGTGTATATATAATATATTATCATGGTGAGGGAGGGACAGACAGACAACCTGTATATATAATATATTATCATGGTGAGGGAGGGACAGACAGACCACCTGTATATATAATATATTATCGTGGTGAGGGAGGGACAGACAGACAACTTGTGTATATATAATATATTATCATGGTGAGGGAGGGACAGACAGACCACCTGTATATATAATATATTATCATGGTGAGGGAGGGACAGACAGACCACCTGTATATATAATATATTATCGTGGTGAGGGACAGACAGACTGACAACCTGTATATATAATATATTATCATGGTGAGGGACAGACAGACTGACAACCTGTATATATAATATATTATTATCATGGTGAGGGACAGACAAACAGATATCCCTTTAATTCTCGCTTTAGTAAATAACCCTGTTAGTGTTGATCCTGAGTATTGGTACTTTATTTCTAAAAATACAAGGCATGTTCATGGCCACAAAAAAAGTCAAGTGAAAAAAATGGATACATTGCATAAAAACATCTGATGTGTTACATAGAATATATTCATTTTCTGCATAAGTTAAATGACCATGATGTTTTGGTTCTACTCCTTTTTATGTGTAAAAGTAATGGAATACTATAGTGTCAGGAATACAATGTATTGCTGACACTATAGTGTTAAACTATTAAAGTTAGTGCTCCCCTCCGATTGCATGGGAAAGGTGTTTGGTGTTTTTACTCACCTTTTCACGCTCATCGCTGGTCTGCCCACGACTGGCGCTGCCGCCTTGGCAGAGATCATCAATATTAATAATCTCAGCCAGTCCAATGTTTTCCCATAGGAAAGCATTTTGAGGCTCTTATGCATGTTCAGCAAAATACCATCAATCAGCATATCCTCCTAGAGATAGATGCATTGAATCAATAGGGAGCTCTAAACATATGTGCTGCACAGTGTGCACCTCAAGTGGCTGGCTGACTTCTCGAGGTGTTCCCAGGCAGAAATGTAAACACTGCCTATTCTCTGAAAAGACTGTTTTTACATTGAAAAGTATCAGGGGCAGGCTATAGTCACCAGATTTACTACATTAAGCTGTAGTGTCCCTTTAAGATCTGTTATGTATGTTGTTGGAAATAAAGCTTTGTTGGTTTAAAAAAAAAAACTGGCTCCTAACTTTTTCTTTTTAGCTGTCTTCAAGATTCAAATCAAGTATGTCAAGCCCTGGTCTAAGGCAAAGCAAAGGTGTTTTGTTTTTTGTTTTTTTACAGTAGGAACAATAAAGATGTGGAACTCTGTCTGAATTTGTGGTTCTGTCAAAGTCTGTACATATGTTCAAACAGCAATTGGATGAATACTTGCTAAAACATAATATTCAGGGACATAATTTTTAATTTGTGGGATAATGGCTTCTTGATCCAAGGAGAGATCAGACTGCCATTCTAGGGTCAAGATGGAATTTTTTCCTAGTTTTTTGCAAAATTGGAAGCTCTTCAGACTAGGTTTTTTGACTTCTTTAGGATCAACGGCAAAAACAGATTTGAGGCTAAACTTGATGGACCCATGTCTCTTTTCAGTATGTATCTGTGTGTGGGAATGTGTAATAGTAGGAATGCTCATCTGTATGCACATGTATCTGTGTATGGGTGAATGTGCAATGGGAGGCATGAGGTCAATGTTTTTGCAAGGGGCCCTAAGAGTTCTGATGGCAACGCTGATTGGCAGAGTGTACCTGACACAGAAGCAGTAGGGCAGCTTTAGTACCCTGGGCAGGGGTGATTGTAAGACCCATGGTTTTAGTAAAAAATTCTTGGTTTCACACAGTGGCATGTGAGCTGTAGTGGTTATGGTGCTTTGGGTGCCCATTTAAGGCCATATTATCAAAACAAAAACAGGTACCTTATGTACCTTTTATGATATGTTAGATCTTATCTAATTTTAAGCTTATCTCTAACTTGGTTAAATAGGGTAACATTGAGTAACCTATAAGCACTCTATATTGCTGGTGTGTCCCTTTTCAAAGCTATTATTTATTTTTATTTATTTTTTATTGGGTTTTTAATACATAAATGACACTGCACACTGCATTAATAGGATGTATTCACTAAACTGGAATCTAAGGATAACTGAAAAGAGAATTAGACATTTTAATTTCATAACACAGCTCTAAGTAAATAAATGCATATGTTACCTGCAGGTACATTGTGGCGATTTCCCACATCTTCTAGTGTTTGGACCATCTGGTGCAGGAAAGAAGACACGTATTATGTGTTTGTTACGAGAGCTGTATGGAGCTGGTGTTGAAAAACTGCGTATTGAACATCAGACTATAACGGTAACTATAATATGTGACGTTTGCACGAGACAGAACTTTGGCAAATCTCCATTTTAATATAATGGTTATGGTACACATATGTTCTTCCTTTTATCAGACAATGCAAACTGTTACTGTTTAGTAGGAAACAATGTTTACATTTTGTGAAAACATGTCTCTAGTGCAGTGATTAGCAACTATAGCTTGCGGGCCTCTGCAAATTTTTAGGCCACAAATGCTCACAAAAACAAATCATAGACATCTGGGGGGAGGACAAAATCTTTTGGAGGCAGGTGTCTGCTCTGCCCATGTATAGTGATGTGAGTGTGTAGAGGGCAATAGAGCTATGTACTTAATGTGCTCAGGTGACTTGCATGCCCTGTAGTGGTGAGGCACCTGATTGTATGTGCCTCGTATTTTTATGTTGGTGAATAGAAATAAGAGTTTATGATTTGTGGCCTGGTAGCAAAATTATAATAAAAATGTAAATTTGAAATGAGACGATCTTCAATGACTTTGGGATTTAGTATCTCTTAAGAGCTGTCTACTGATAAATTGACCAGCATTTTAATTTTTTTATTACATGCTTTCATTTTAACAGACACCTTCAAAGAAGAAAATTGAAATCAGTACTATTGCAAGTAATTACCATCTGGAAGTTAACCCAAGGTATGACTCCATAATGTTGGCATTTGTCTTTCTTGCTCCCTAATTTGTATTACTGAGCCTATTATGTTAAAACCACCACCTGTTTACGGCAAAAAAACCTGAAGGGAATGATTCTATTTACCAGAACAAATACAATAAGCTGTAGTTGTTCAGGTGAATATAGTGTCCCTTTAAGTGCAACTTTAGAGGACCACTCTAAGCACCATAACAGCTTCATTGCAATGAAGTTTTTATGGTGGAAGGAGGTCCAGGGTTCGGTCTTACCTGAAGGGTAAACCCCAAAGTGGGCAAGCCTGTGCAGCTAAGTGCGATAGGCTGAGTGTCACTAAAAGGCTGAAGGTTTCAGCTGACTCTCTCAGCTTATCACTAACTCCCCACTGAGAAAAAGGTATGTTATCTTTTTCAGTTCCCTTTCTCAGTGAAGAACTACTGATAGACTTAGAGTGTCCATGGCTTGCAGACTTTGGCGTTAAACCATTTGTTAATGGTAAGACAGCTCCCAGGAACGCCTCCCACCATAACAACTTAATTGCGATTAAGTTGTTATTGTGCCAAGTGTGTGTGACACTCTTCACACACCAGGATGAGACTTCAATCCAAGACTTCACACACCAGGATGAGACTTAAATCCGGAAGTCCAGAAAGACTCAGAGGATAAGTAGTTTATCCCAGAGAGCAAATATTTTTGCTGGTGTTTGTGTGGCCTGACCAAGCAACGTTTCCACCATCAGTTAATGTTACACTTTGGTGTCAAATGTTCCTGGATTCACTCTAGTAAAATAAAACTTTCTTGGTACACTGCAAACTAAAAATGACAGACCAAAAAGGTTCACAATGCACAAACTATAGGACTAAATTGAGTCAGGCAATCTGGATCTAGAAGTTTTCTGGGCTATGTGATTGACAGCCTATTGGGCTGTCTTACAGCAGCAGTATCTTTTGGGGTGGGGCGCTGTTTATACAAATCGCTGCAGCTAAAACCATTCTCAGAATAATTGGCTCAGAATGCCTATGGTGCTTAGACTAATCCTTTAATAATGACCCAAAAGTAAATTGATTGGTGAAGGGATTCTTAACAACATACCAACTTGGGCTAGTCCCAAGCTTCTTTTTATTCTGTTTACAGTTTAGTAGCAACTTGTACTGATTAGAATATTCTACATAAGCACACTTGTATTTGGAGATTTCCTCTAAAGGCCTCTACTTACACAATCTGCTCCTAGGGGTTAGCTCAATATACATAATGCAATCTGTCCGTAACAGGAGAGACTAGCATAATTTAAAAAGAAATACAAACCATAGCAAAATGTTAGCATTATTTAAGTAGTGCAGAACAAAAACCTTTTGACAGTTTCCCTTTAAGGCTTTATGCTCATCTGATTCTTGAGCACATGATGCAGGATATTCTCTAATGCTATCACAACTGACAGCACTATCAACAGTGTTCAGGCAGGCAGACAGTCAAAGGTATATCTAATGGGAGATACAGAGCATCTGAGATCAGCCTTTGAAAGGCGGGTGAATCTTTAGATGCCGAACAGAATATCCTGGATATTTTATCTCTCACCCTTGGAAATTGACAAGGAAAACCTAGACGTGTTAAATTACTCCACCGGTCTTGTAATATGTGCTAATGTTTGTGCTTACCTTTAATATTTCATTTAAAAACTGTGCTGTGGATGTGTCCCCAATAACTGCACGTTTCATTAAAAAAAAAAAAAAAAAAAATTGTGATTCTTAACTTTTATTTTGGTTAGGGGTTTGTTACATTTAAATGCATGGTGCTAGCCTGGTGACACAACTTTCTATGATAGAATGAGCCCAGTGGCAATTTCTTGGATTGTAGTATAAGAATTCTATATTTTATTTATGTAAAACATCAGTATAATCCAGGGTTAAACACTAAAGTGATAACTAGGGATCGACCGATTATCGGTCTGGCCGATATTATCGGCCGATATTTGGTATTTTCGGCAATATCGGTATCGGCCAATTCAGATACCGATATTGCCGATAATATATAACAGGAGCGCCGGGCCCATTACAAGCCCGGCGGTCCTGTGGGGGCCAGCAGCAAGCGCTGACTTACCTTGCATGCAGCTCCTACAGCTCTCTGTGTAAATCTCGCGAGACCCGCGGCCGCAGAGCGTTGCCACGGGTTACCATGGCAACGCTCCGCGCGGCACTAAGAGCCGCGAGATTTACATAGGGAGCTGGAGGAGCTGCTTGCAAGGTAAGTCAGCGCTTGCTGCTGCTGAGCCACCACTGTACTTAACAAGCCACTGGACCACCAGGGGATACTATATCCCCCTCCCTGGTAAGAAGCAGGGAGGGGGGACTAAACAAAAAACAAAAAAAAAACATTTAAATATTAAAATATTAAAATAAATTACACAAATTACATCACTACACACACACACACACACACACTGCACACATACTGCATTACATACACACTACACAAACACACACTACACAAACACACACTGGGGGGGGACTAAACAAAAAAAATATTAAAATATTAAAAAAAATATTAAAATAAAAAATTACACAAATTACATCACTACACAAACACACACACACTACACATACACACACACTGCATTACATACACACTACACAGGCACACACACTGCATTACATACACACACTACACAGACAGACACTACACACACACCACAAACACACACTGCACACATACTGCATTACAGACACACACTGCACACACTACACTGCACACACACTGCATTACATACACACTACACAAACACAGTACACATACTGCATTACATACACACACTACACAGGCACACACACTGCATTACATACACACTACACAAACACACTGCACACATACTGCATTACAGACACACACTGCACACACTACACTGCACACACTACACTGCACACACACTGCATTACATACACACTACACAAACACAGTACACATACTGCATTACATACACACTACACAGACACACACACTGCATACATACACACTACACACACTACACAAACACACACTGCATTACATACATACACACTACACAAACACACACACACTGCATTACATACACACACAAAAACACACTGCATTATACACACACACTACATAAACACACTGCATTATATACACACTACACACACTGCATTATATACACACACTCTGCATCCACTACACACACACACACACTACACAAACACACACAGTTCCCCTGTCTAAACACACTTCATCCACTACATGTGGCATGTATATTTTGTGCATTTACATTTCGAATTAGTTTATTTATTCAAAATAGTAAATGTACAGAATATCGGCAAGATATCGGCTATCGGCCTGAAAGTTCGCAGATTATCGGTATCGGTATCGGCTCTAAAAAATCAATATCGGTCGATCCTTAGTGATAACTTTAGAGTAAATTTAAGGCCAGTGTAGCTGAACTGGAACTATCTACGACTTAGAGAGGTTTTCCAGTTCAGCTATTTTTACCTTGAATTTGATGTAAATGACCCTGTTAGTGTCATTAGTTCTCTGCTGTAATAAGCATTGATACTATTATGAGTATTACCTATGTTCTGACCACCAATATGTGGTTATTCCAACCCAATTAAATCATTTGAGGACTAAATTTTGAGTTCCTTATACATGGGTTAGGAACCACTGCAATAGAAGTATCTGTTGCACTATTAAACACTTTTAACTGGAAGAGGGACAGTCACATAATAGTATGTCTCTACTGTATACCTTATCCAGTTGGGGCGTTCTACATGAAACTTTGTGGGCCCCTGTATGTCTATAAAGGCTCTAAATAAATGGCGATAATAAATGGGGGTGGGTTTACATGTGCGCGCACTTATCAGAATTAAGTAAATATATGTATATCTCTCATTCCTCTAGCCTATGCAATTATGGCTTGAAGGGGGAGGAGGTTTTTACACTTTCTGCAAAGATAAGCCCATGTGATAGATCTTTTCGGTAATGGAACCTGGAGGAGATATCCCTCACAGCAGAATACACAACAACTAATGGAAAAAGTCACGGCAGGGGATTACCCCGTCACTGTCAATAACGTGTGTACATGTGTTAGAGGTGTACCTTTTAGACTCCGACATAGTGTATAAAGGTCAGCACTTGCAAAGGAAATTAGTTGATTGCTACCAAATTTGTGTAAGATGTGAATACTGCTTTAATTTTTTCCCTCACACACATCTTTTGATATTGGTGGGTGTTTTTTTTTTTATATATATATATATATATATATAAGTTGCTCTTATTTGTATAACAGTAAATGTGTAGGAATTTGGATTAAATTCTCAAACTGCCTATGCTCTTATTTGTATAACAGTAAATGTGTAGGAATTTGGATTAAATTCTCAAACTGCCTATAAGCCGTTTTACATAAAGATTTTACTTAAATCAGTGATAGGCAACCTTTTGCCGGCTTAATAATAATGATTATTCATAAAGTGGTTATTCATAAAGTGAGAATTCCAAATTAATTTCAAATTTCAGGACAAAGTATCTAAACCGGTAGCATAGATGACTTGGAGATTGTTTACAGTTTGGCTATTTTTACATTGAATTAGAAATTAATTTTGAATTCTCACTTCAATAAATATCCCTGTAATGATTACACAGCAGTTGTCGTGTGGGGTTGCATATGAATTACAACGGCACTCACTGCATTTGCTTTTATTTTATTTTTATATAGTGATGCTGGTAACAGTGATCGTGTAGTAATTCAAGAACTATTGAAGACAGTTGCACAGTCACAGCAACTCGAGACAAGCACCCAGAGAGACTTCAAAGGTGTGCACCAAAAGACTATTTTATTTGCCCTGCCCATGCTGTTTCTCTCCTTTCAATATTTTCTTCTTTTTTTTTTTCTAACTAGCCTCTGCTCTTACTTGCTCTCCATGCTGATGTTGGCCGGTATATGTTCCTAGTGACTGCTATGCCACACTCTCCTTCCATTATGTTGCTTTCTTTCCTTCCGTTAAAGTTCACACACCCTCAGCCTCCCATCATACAAATACAATGGACTAGCGCTTTTCCTAATTTGTACCAACATTTAAATGCAACAGCAGTTTGTAGTATTTAAATAATGAGTAACACTATTTCAGAAATGGTGTGTGTATTTGCTCAGGTTACTTAGCAACAATGTGTGCAAAAGTGCATATTTATTATACTACATATTTATTTGACCTATGTTCTAATTTCTAAGAGGCTCATAACTTGATAAGCAGCAGGTATCGCTGAAGCCATTTGAGTGTTACCAGTAACTTAGAAATAAAAGACGGTATTATGTAATAAGACCTGTTACTACTTCTCCATTGTAAACAAGGTGTAAAATTAGAAATTAAAAAATGCATGTATTACTTTTTATTTTATTTTTTAGTTGTCTTGTTAACGGAAGTTGATAAACTTACAAAAGATGCTCAACATGCATTGAGAAGAACAATGGAGAAATACATGTCTACCTGCCGGCTTATTTTATGTTGCAATTCAACATCAAAAGTAATTGCTCCAATTCGAAGCAGATGCTTGGCAGTGCGTGTCCCAGCTCCCAGCACTGAAGAGGTATGATTGGGTTTATGCATACTGGTACTCTAAATAGTTTTTTCACATCTGAGAGATGCAAAAAGGCACATGTTTATATATTCCCGCAAAATAGTTTTTGATGCTGAAGTATAGATAATTTGTGTGTGCTCCAATGTGCATGATTTAATGGATGAAAGCAAACTAAGTGTGTAAGCATACTGAAAAACCTAATGGCTTACACTATGTCTAGTCCCTGTGTATGTATATATGTGTGTGTGTGTGTGTGTATATAATATATATATATATATATATACACCCACACATCTCTTCACACTTGCACTGTATTGTATGGAAGTTATACCATTTGCATGTAAGACTGAATGTATTTTCCTCTAGGTGAAGAAACTCTTTATATTTGAAAGTTCAACCAACACTCAGTTTCAAAAATGTAAATGCTGCGAACTGTAGCTCATAACATTTTGAGGATTTCTTTGTGCTGTTCTTTTTCAGAGCCTGACATGCTTCGTCAATGGGACAATATGTTCCTTAACATCTTGTCTAATCGGTTTATTATAGTCCTGTTAATTGGAGATATTCTAAATCTATCCACAGCTTAGAGTAATTGATGACTTGTTTTGTGACATTTACTATGCAGATTTGCACAGTATTGTTCAGTGTTTGCAAGAAAGAAGGATTGGTTCTTCCTCAGGATCTCGCACGGAAAATTGCTGAGAAATCTGGCAGAAACCTCAGAAAAGCACTTCTAATGTGCGAGGCTTGTAGAGTACAACAGTAAGTTGGCAGTCACATTGTTCCCAATTGTATTACAGCCTGTCCTTTAAAAAAACAAAAAAAAACCTAAAGCAGAAAAAAACCACAAAGCTTGCCTCTGGATATTGAGTCCGTTCCCACATGAAGCATGCACCAAACTTTGTGTGTCTTGTGAACCTCATATACATGTGAATATGGGGAGGTTGTGTACACAAACTTAGACTGTTTTATTCAATAGAATTCTTGGAAATATTGCCTATACCTACATAAAGTTAACTCATCCATATGGTTGTGAATAGTGGGATATCTTTAAAAATTGATTTAAAAAAAAAAAAGTAGTTTAGTTTATTTCTGAACAATATGTCTGGGGGAACAGTGATCCAAGCCCCCAACCAATGTTCCATTAGACACGTATTTATTTATTTATTTTTTTTTGCTTTGTCTGGCATTTGTAAAATATATATATGTAGCATTTAACATACTATTACAGATGTTATGACTTCTTTACCATAAAGTTACTGTACCACTGAATGTCAATATGTTTTCTTTTGTGGATTTCAGGTATCCATTCAGTTCAGATCAAGACTTGCCAGAGACAGACTGGGAAGTATATGTAAAGGAGACTGCTAATGCTGTTGTCAGTCAACAAACACCACAAAGGTAACTTTTGATACTGGCCTTTATTAGTTGTAAAGTGTTTAATTAGCTGTTACTTTCCTTACGACTCTTATTAAATGTATTAAGAAGCATTGTGTGGTGTCATGTAGAAGGATACATTGTGTTCTGTCCCTTCAATTCCATTTGGAGCCAGACAACATATGACATACCTCTCTTTCATACAGGTTTTGCTTATTATCACCTCAGTAGTGACCCTGAAGACAAATTCCTATTGTATCTTGTAATATCCTTTTTGCAGTTTGCATATATTGATTCTTGGATTGTGGCACTTTACCATTTTCTCCTCTTGTACAAACTCCATAATTATATCATAGCCATACGGTATGTAGTCTGAAGAACTAGAAAAATGGATATTCTGTTTGACACCCTTGATTTAGTCTGATGACATGCCACAAAAATGAGGTTTTAAATGGAAAGACTTGTCTCTTCTGCTTTTTTTTTTATTTTTTAGCAGTATGTATTTGAGCCTTTGAATACTGGAGGCACTGACACTTTCCTAAATCATGTTGTTTAATTGCATATTTGCTCATAATCCATGTGACTCCAGTGTGTCAAGAACTCATGTGTACCAAATTATTATTAATTGCGAATATTTTATCTTTAAAAAGGAGTACAGTGCAAATGATCAATTTTGGCAATATAAAAATTGGGTCTGTTTAGAATATAGGGGAAGAATCATGAAACCTTTTTATTCTGGGAGATGTATAGATACGTTTAATTTTTTTTTTTTTTACTACAGTTATATGAATGGGGACAGTGTTGTGGTTTGACTGTTGCATGGTACAGAATTTTGTACATTTAAAAAAAATAATAATAAAAAAAACTGCACGTGCAACCCTGTAATAAAGTGTACTATCTTGTCAGGTATGAAAAAATCACTTGGAAATCCATATTACATAATTTACAATATGTTTGATTTTTATCAGGTTGCTCGAGGTTCGTGGTCGTCTTTATGAACTTTTGACTCATTGTATCCCACCGGAGATCATAATGAAGGTACAATTATAATTACATATTCTGGACTACATGTTGTAGCTCTCAGATTTGTATGAAAGCAATCCTGACCGCAAAGGCTTCATTTCCATGCCACAAATTTTACTGTAAAATCAATGTAATCACTTAATGAATCTTTACTATAACTTTATAGTTTTGTTAAACCAAAGACCAACATTTGACGAATTACTTCTGTTCATTGTGTTTTTGTCCTAGCATATTATTGTAGATGGGCTTTTATGCAGAAATAATTCTAATGACCTTGCTGTAATCTTTACAATGCTAACACATACTTGCTCTGTTTGTTTTTCAGTCCTTGCTCTCTGAGCTGCTCAATAACTGTGATGGACAAATGAAGGGTGAGGTGGTGCAGATGGCCGCTTACTATGAACATCGATTGCAACTTGGAAGCAAAGCCATATATCATCTGGAAGCTTTTGTCGCCAAATTTATGGCCATTTATAAGCGGTTTATGGAAGATGGACTTGAAGCTATGATGTTCTAACCTACCATTATCCATTTTTATGTTTTTGTCCCGGTTTTGTGTTTGCTTAGTTCATAAAATAACAGTGCAAGCTGTGATTGAATTAAGTCTGCAACTGATCATCTACCAGCTGCTAAAAGATCTGCCAGATGGACACTTACTGAATTTCTCTGATCATTACTCTGCAGAAACTAAATATACACAGAATGTTTTGGTAGATTTCTTGTGATGCTTTATATTCCTTCACACTTTATTTTTACATTTAATTGCATCAGTCAAGCTCAAAACGGATTGTAGTGGAGAACAAAAAGTTTAACCCTGGTGTACTATGAGGAGCAGAAAACTGCCACTCATATCAATGAAAGTTTGCTTAGCATCTCACAAGTGACATTTTCAACTATGGCGTTTACCTATGTATTTAAAATAGATCACGGCTTTGTGGATGAATGTTTGTGCTGAGAGCATATTTAAAATGTTCAGTTCCAGAAGACTTGCAGTAAAACCGGTCCACTTAACTCTATAAATGAACTGCCAGTGCTATAAATAGTTCAAATAAATATTTACAACAAATGCTTTCATTCTACTACCTGACACATTTTGACAAGTATATGGATTGCTAGACTATCAACAGCACCCTAACTTGAATATCACACTTGATGTTATTTTTTGGAAAACTATTGTAAAAATTATTTTTGTACCAAGTTAACAGAAACCTTGCTCCTCTGTAAACGTTGACTGTTATTTCTTCTACGTACGTGTAAATCAAGTTAAGGGTAATTTGCTTTCCATTTTGGCTTTCTTTTCATTGTCAAAATCTGCTATATCAAACAACTCATGTGTAATGAGAGAATACAACGGTCACTGAATTAATAAATTAAATTGATTCCCTTTTCTCATCAATACTGACCCTACAATAAGACCTAAGATGATGTATCTCTTGCAGGTTTTAGCTGTAAAAGCACATTACTACACACCTTGTGATTTATATATAGAGGATGCTAATTGACATATATCAAGATTTTGTGTTGTGCACAAGGGCTGCTGCACCTTGTGGGCAAGTGATAGCCTGACTGTGTAACTCACACACCTTCCTAATCATGATACAAGCAATATATTGGCAAACCAGTGACCAGGAGGTGCTTCTACTCCTCTATATGAATCTATTTTCCTGTAGCTTGTCTAAGGTCCTGTAAGGTAATTAGTGTTCGTGACTACAGCATGGGGAGTATAAAAAAAAAAATAGGGATACGGTGAGGGATAAAATCAGTGTTAGACTTTAATTTTACCTAATCCCAAATAATGTTTCTACTAAAACAAAACTTGATTCTAATCATTTAGTATGAATATCCAAATTGAATAAATTATCTGAAGATAACTCATTTTCTAACTTTATACTTGCAGTACATGGCTAAGCACTCTAGTTTATCCACACAGGTTCCCAAAATATCAGGTAGCAAATCTCTCAGGGTTACTGACTTTTCCATGACAAGGGCACAGTGTGGGATTGACAGGTCATCCATACTACAGGATGGCAGGCGAGAGACATGAGGCTATAGCAAGAGATGCAAAGCTGTGGGGTAGTATATACACCATTCCCATATAGCTCAGCCAGACCCCACAGCAGTTTGCAGGGTGTAATTGTTAAAATGGTTCAAAAACTACACTCCCCCTAATTTGTAGCCAGAGTAAAGGTTTGGGTGAGTTCACAGTGTTTTAAAAAAAAAAAAAAAAAAATATCTCAAGTTTTAAAGGGATGCTATAGTCACCTAAACAACTTCAGCTTAAAAGAGCAATTTTGGTGTATAGATCATGCCTCTGAAGTTGCACTGCCCTATACTCTGGCATTTAAGAGTTAAATCATTTTGGTTTTGTTTATGCAGCCCTAGCTACACCTCCCATGCCTGTAACTGAGAGCCTGCGTGAAAACAAAATGGTTTCATTTTTAAGCAGATGTAACTTATTTGAAAAATGTTGTTTTGCTCTGTAAATTGAACTTTAATCATAGCAGAAGGCTCTTGTAGGGTCTAGCAAGCTATTAACAGAGCAAGAGATAAGACTTTCTAAAATAAACAGAATTTGCAATAAAGGATGTTTAAACATTAGATAACTCTTTAAAGGAAGTGTTCATGAAGGCTGTGTAAATCAAATGCAGGGAGGTGTGTCTAGGGTTGTATAAACAAAGTGTTTTACTCCAAAATGGCAAAATTCAGCTGTGAGACTGCAAAAGCATGATCTATACACCAAAGCTGCTTCATGAAGCTAAAGTTGTTTTGGTGACTATAGTGTCGCTTTAAGTAGACATGTACTACAATTCCCAACACTAAAAATATGTATTGCAACAAAACAATAACCTAATATTTTCATTAATGAACATGAACACTTCATTATATAATTTAGTTGATTTACCACCAAAGAAAATGTGTGGAATTTGTTTTCTATGTTTGGGGGGTGCATTATCTATAGCCCTCCACCTACAAAGACTTTTTGTGGCTGTCCAAATAGACCTCTGAATGAACTGTATTACAAATCATGGAAAAGTATTTTTAATTTACCTAGATGTACCACTCCCTTCCCCTCCATGGCAGCATCAAGCTGTCAGGACAGGAATAATTAATTAAAGGGACACTATAGTCACCCAGACCACTCAATGAAGTGGTCTGGGTGCAATATCCCTCAGGTTTTAACCCTTCACATGTAAACAGCAGTTTCAGAGAAACTGCTATGTTTACATAGGGTTAATCCAACCTCTAGTGGCTGTCTTCCTGACAGCCGCTAGAGGTGCATCTGTAATGCTGGATGCAAATTTCGCAGTGCGCAGAACTTCCAAAGGAAAGTATTGAGAAATGATTTCCTATGGGCTGTTAGAATGCGCGCACAGCTCTTGCTGCGCATGCGCTTTCCCTCCACTCGAGAGCTGACGTAGGTGGGGGAAGAGACTTGCCCGGCGCTGGATAAAGGTAAGTGGCTGATGAGGTTTTAACCCCTTCAGCCCAGCAGGAGGGGGACCCTGGGGGCGAGGGTCCTCCAAGGATTGTATAGTGTCATGAAAAAAAGTTTTCATGACACTATAGTGATCCTTTAACTTTCCAATAATAGTCCCCTACCCTCTAGACCCCTCAGTCTATAATGACTTCTGTATTGACTATTTTTGGTTACATCCCACCCTTCTTCCAAGCTTGGGTAATACCCATATGTGATGCTGCCATGTATGGCCAGGAAAATAGAAAATGTTTCCATACTTACCGTTATTTTTCCCCCCTGCTATTATACATGGCAGCATCACGCTCCCTCCCTTCTGGATTCTTCAACTGGAGCTATTTAACAAGACTGGTGGGTCTAGAGGGGAGGGGGCTATTATTGGAAAGTTAATTGTTTAATTATTCCTGCCCTGACAGTTGGGAGGAAGAGCTTACCCATATGTGATGCTGCCATGTATAATAGCCAGGAAAAAAAAATTATGGAAGTGTATAGGCTGGATATGTAAAAAAAAAAAAAAAATTTGTTTTCATTTACTGATTTCCCATACCGTAAAAAATTGGTAAATACAATCTGGTTCTTCTAAGTATGGACAAAACTTTAACAAACACAGACTGATTCAGAAATCCATACCAGCCTCCATTAACCTTTCAGGCGGAGTGTTTAGTGATTTGTGAATTTTAGGAAACACATACAGGGTGGGAACAACAGGATCTCGTTTGACTAAGAAAGTAGCTAGTTCCTGGTCAATGATACCATCCTGTTTTGCTTGCAAAACAACTTCTGTAATGCAATATGCCCAGTGGAGTACTCTGTATGTTTCCGTTTCAGACAGCGGCCTCTCTATCGCTGGAACATAATCAGTAGTATATTCATCACTACGACGACTTCTCTTATCTACAGATTTAAGTGTTAAGATTTTATTATGCTGGACTGCTTTGATAGCTGCATTTTTTTTTTTTTGCAGTAAAATTGGGGTTATTTTTAGTGAAATTAGGTACATTCAAAATCTGGCAATTCTTTCTGAAATGTAGGTGTCTGTTACATTTGATGTATTCTAGATTTATTTATTTTTTCCCCCCTATTTCAACTATTGCTTCACTGTTTGTTTTTTTTGTTTAGGATATAATCATTAAAGGAATACTCCAACCAAAAAAAACAAAAACCTGAAATAAAATTAATGCTTATTACATCACACCCCCTCACTTCAAGGGAAGGGATGTCAGAGAGGCAGGGCTGAGGGAGGAGTTAGCGCTGCAAGAAGTGGGGACCAAGGCACTATTGGACGTCCTTTACCTGCATGCTATGCTATGTATTCTGATGCAGAAACATTTTTACGCACAGATTTGACAGAGAGCCAAACTATCGCCATATGTGCAGAATTCTAAACTTGAATACTACACTTACAAACCATAAGCACAATGACCCCCTTCAAATACCTACAGTGGTCATGGTGTTTGTAGTAACCCTGTAATATAATTGGTGCTAGCACTATGGTGTAAGAAAGTATAGGCTTTGTTTTGTGAAAAATTTAATCTATCTGTATTTCTTTCATCGCTATCCCCATTTTCTTCAGGTATTAATAAAAGTTACATTCAGGCGCTATTTAAAATTTTTAAAGATTTAAAGAATCTTTGCGTTTCGAAGCCTATTATTTGAATAGTTGCTGGTAGCATTCTAGGATGACAACGTTTCTTTATAATTTGAGGGAGACAAGACCTGAACCACAGGTTAACATTTGGTTATTACTTGTATATGCATATGGTTAAAAGATATCATTATGAAAGTATATAAACACACAAATTAAAAAAATAACGTTGGCACAGATGAGTGATGACATTATCTTATTTACTTATCAGATTATACCATTTAATACGTCTTGTACCATATTCATCTTGTGATTTTTGGAAAGTGCAGGCTATCAAGGAGATTTTTAATAACTGCTTCCCTGCTCACAAGATCCATTAAGACAGTAACAATTTAGCCACAGTCTTAAAAGCTATTCACGGTAGCCATGTTGAGTACTTAAACTCTTCTCTTGTCAAGAATAAAAATTGTGATTGATCTAATTATGTGGTTTATTCGCTGCACATTGTAAATTCTACAAAACCACTATAGTTACAGCTTGCCTATATTTGTCAAAATTTAGCAATTCTGTGTTCAAGTCACTATACTTCATGTTTAGCAAATAAACCCCTCTGGCTATGGATGGGTTAGCTTTATTTATCCGGTTTATTTTAATGCAGAGATTGACAAATATCCATAGGTGTAAGACAAATGCCCAATTTATATTAAGATGAGTTAATAAAATACCGGTACTTTTGCTTGAAGGTGCCTATTACAATGTGCTCGCAGAATGCACTCAAAGTGTTCTGCAAGCATTTTGGATTGGACAGATTCTAAGTGAGTTGTACAATTGTTGAGACTGCTCTTAAAAACAAGCATTGTAACTTTTAGTTGGGGAGTCTGCTATTTATTTTCTTTACACTGTATTTCTATCTGGCGACTGTAATATTCTTTCCAGGCATAGATTCGTAACCTGGATAAATATTGGGTGTTGGGCCTTATCGTTTACTACAAGGTGGTAATTTTACCACAAAGCATTATATCAAAGATCAGATGTCTAGAACAGGGGTCCTCAAACTGTGGCCCCCCAGATGTTGCGGAACTACAACTCCTCTGGCTATCTATGTAATTCAAAGACTCATGGAAGTTGTAGTTCAGCAACATCTGGAGGGCCGCAGTTTGAGGACCCCTGATCTAGAACAACCATATTGTGGAATTAAGATTCATGTACCGAACCATATAATTGTATTCCTGTAGGAAATAGATCCTAAGTGTGATTTCCAAACACGTGCAAGTTCAAAACTCCGCGTCAAACACAGCCAATAAGCAGACAAATTTTACAGATGTTGTGGACTAAATCTCCCATTATGCTCTTACAGCCATAACAATGGCAACTCATCAGGGGACATGCAGTCCACAACCCCTGGAGTGCCAAAGGTTGCCTACACCTGGCCAGTCTGAGATCCTTAGGCATGTCTGTCCAAAAGTAACAAAATCAGGAATCTTGGTGAATCTGGGAAGAAAATGAACTTACAAGGAGCAGTAGCCAAAATTTCTAACTATAAACACCTCTACAGTGAATGCAAAAATTCAGCCTGCATCTCAACTTTTGATTTAATGCTGCTCTGAAAGGAACATTCTAGGGTCA